CTCTTTCATTAGCTGAGGTAAACGATCTATCGTTCCTTTTTTAAATCTCCAATATGAAACCATTAAAAAAAACTCGATGATAAGCACAATCTTAAATTGGTTTTTTTTACCGCATAGGGACCTAATTACGTACCTTTCCCTTGAAATTTACTTAGTTGTTTTGAGCATTGCTTGCACAAAAATAAACCAGAGAACGTTTAGTAATGTAAATCTACAAGAAAATGATGTACAGTTTGAGATATTCTGTGTAGAACCCGTTTGACAGCGAAAATGTGATTACAAGATGATCTGCTAAATCGACACTTCTAATGTTACACATACATCTGTTCACGTAAAGAAACATTCATCAATCGTGTAGCTTAGCAACAATTCGATAAGCGTAAAGATCAAAATTCAGTGATCGTTGCACAATACCTGCACGACTTGGTAATCAGTTCGTTGACAATGAAAGTAAATGTTGTTTAATGGCTCCATTTTGTGGTTATACTATTTCGTGAAGATCCAGCAACTTAGAATAATTCAATTAACGTAAAAGCCGAATTTCTCCGTTAATCAATTTCTTAACGACTATATAAAGGGTTAGGAGATAGTTCATTTGTCTAAATCTCATAATATCCGTAATCATTGGTTTAGTTAGCTCACATTTTCTTGATGGATGTTTTGTGGGGGGAAATCAATTTTTTCTAGGGTTTCTATATATTTATCCAACTTCATTTACGAGGCAAGATGTGTAGTAGGATAAACTTAATAAGTTTATTTGGCATTCAATGGCTTGTTAACTATTCAAAAAATTCAATTCTGCCTGGTACTCCTATATACGTGCTCCAAAAATAAAACTGAGCATCCATAGTGGGGTTCTCTTTTCGCCTTAGAAAACGCTATGTGTTGATCTTTAAGTTTAATGTCTGTAATTTCGATGACCATTTCATCCTTGTTCGCAGATTTTGCATCTTATATATTCATTTTATATCTTTTCATTCATTCATTATATTGAGGTCCTCTAATCAGCAACCACGCTGAAAACTAACAATTCAGGGTAATTGTATTATAACAATACATAAATATGATTTTTGTATAATTACCATATCGTGCAATTAAGATTGTTAGACGTTCAT